CACGTGCGGGTACAGCGGGAAGTGCAGGTTCCCCCGCAGCTGCTGGACGGAGCCCCCGCACCAGTCCTCGAACACGTGCAGGTTGGCGCGGCCGCGGAACTGCGGGGGGGGGGATGGGGGTGGGCATGGATGGGCCGACGGGGTCCGGGGTGCGGCCAGGTCATCGGGGCATGGCCTCGGATGGTGCCGGGAGTTGTGTCACTGGGGGCGTGGCCGGGGCTGCGGAAAGGCCTTTGGGGCGTGGCCTTAGAGGCTACAGTTCCGTCATTGGGGCGTGGCCTGCGATACCAGAACTGAGGCCATTGGGGGCGTGGCCTGGGAATAACAAGTTAGGTCATTGGGGGCGTGGCCTGCGATACCAGAGGCAAGGCCGTTGGGGGCGTGGCCTTAGAGGATACAGTTAGATCATTGGGGCGTGGCCTGCGGTGTGCGGGTGCACGCCCAGGACTCGCGTGCGCACACGCGCATGCACGCGCGCACACACACGCGCACACACGCGCACGGAGGCTGGCATGCTCTCCACCGGGGAAGGCAGCGCCGTGACAGGGCGTGGGGGGACAGGGCCTGAGAGCCGCAGCCGAGCTGGGGTCCAGCTGAGGACCTGCTGCCCTCCCTGGCCCGCACTTCAGCAGGGAGGCCCCGAGCTGGCCCTGGGGTCGGCCTGGGAACAGGGGCCGTGGGTGGGCGGCGGGAGGAAAGCATGGGGACATTGTGCCACTCCTGGGGACAGTCCTGGCGTCCAGCCACGAGACGAGCGGCTGCTGTCTGTCTTCCCAGGGGGCTGGTGGGGAGGGCGGGGGGGAGGGAGTCTGGCTGCCCTCTCCCTCGTCCAGCCGGGTCTTGCAAGGTCCACTCGTGGAGGGGTCATGGGGAAAATGCCTGTGGCTGCTGTCGCAGACAGGGGAGGGGACATTGAGGAGATGAACTGGCTCCCCCGGCCTGGAGGCGGGGAGGGCAGGCAGGGGTGGATGGGGAGGGTGAGCAGCGCTGCAGGGCCTTCCCACTGGAGAAAACCTCCGCTGGACCTGCTGCCCCTGCCAGGCGGATCCTCCCTCTCTGGAGTCATCCGCACCTGCAGCCTACCCGGGGGGGGGGTCCTGGGCCCATCCAGGGGGTCCTGAGTCCAGGTCCCCGCAGACAGAACAATCAATACCCCACCCTGGCTGACCAGCCTTCCCTGGCGCCTAGCCCATGGCTCCTAAGGCCCCGCCCACAAGGTCACACCTACACCCAAATCCCCGCCCACAACATCCCTGCCCACACCCAGGGCCCCTGCCCCACCCAAGCACTCCTCAACCACTTCTAATATCTGAGCCAGTGGCTCTCACCTGCTCAGATCTGAGAATCAGTGGGGGGAGAATACTCAGGGACGGGGCTCAGGCCCTGGGTTCAAGCCCCACGACCCACAAAAACGTTTTTAACATATGAAACCAGAGCTGAGCACGGGTGGCTCAGGCCTGTCATCCTAGCCACTCGAGATCCGAGGATCACAGTTCAAAGCCAGCCTAGGCAGAAAAGTCCGTGAGACTCTCATCGCCAATGAAAACCGGAAGTGGAGCTGTGGCTCAAAGTGGCAGAGCACTAGCCTTGAGCAAAAGAGCTCAGGGACAGCGCCCAGGCCCTGAGTTCAAGCCCTACCACTGGGGGAAAAATCCAAAGAAAGACGACCACCAGAGGTCATACACAGGAACTAAAACAGCAACTAGTTCTTGTAGATGTTAATCCTACTGGAATCAGAACATATTCTCTCTCTCACACGCACACACACAGGAAAAATCAGCCAGGAGGCTGGGGTAGGAGGGTCACATGTTAAAGGCCAATCTGGGATACCCTGTCTTGAAAGAAAAGAAAAATGATCCAAGCTGTCATTAAAACAGGTCTGACCGAATTATCTGAGTCAGCTTCTCTTCCCAGCGGTGTCTGGGGTGCAGTGGGTGTGTGACGGGTCCCCTCTGGGCGTTAGAGGAGGTCGCACTACCGGCCTGGGAGCTAATCACGCAGGGGTGTGGGTGGCGGTGCCTCCTTTGCTCGACAGAACTCCTCGAAGCTGCCAGCGAGCGGCGCCCAGCAGCGATGTATTATTACACAGTTAAGGGTTTTTTTTTGTTTTTTGTTTTTTAAAAAAACTTAACAATGAAGTCCTTTCTTCCTGCAAATTCTTATGGGATTTAATGGCCCCAGAAAGGTAGTTTGGGAGCTCGTTATCTTTAAGACGAGGGATTGGCATGGCTGTGAAAGTCAGGCTGCTGTGCTGAGCATTGCGTTTCCCACCCATAAAAAATAATAAACTATGGTTACAGTTTGGACTTGAAATGTTCTCCAACCCAGACACGGTGGTACACACCTGTAATCCAAGCACTCAGGAGGCTGGTGTTGGAGGATTTGGACTTTGGGCCAGCTTGAAGTTAAGACCCTGTCTTAACAAAGAAAGAGAAGGGAGGAGGAAGGAAGGGAGGGAGGAGAAAGGAAAAGAAAAGAGAGGAAGAAGGAAAGATAGGAAGGAGGGAGAAGGGAAGGAGGGAGGGAAAGAAGGAGTAAGGAGAGAGGAGGAAGAGAAGAGGAGGAAAAGGAGGAGCAGGAGAAGTAGGAAGAGGAAAGAGGCCTTCCTTCCCTAAAGGCCAATAAGCTTGGTCCACAGCCATACTGACAAGGGGTGAAACCTTGTTTCACTAGGGGGCCTAGTGGAGGAAGTGAGGTCACTGGGGGCGTGGCCGCACAGGGTCACTGGGTCACCAGGCCTAGGGCCTTCTCTCTGCCATGAGGAGAACAGCTTCCTCCATGTGTCCCCACCACGAGGTACAGGGCTGCAACAGGCCCAAATGGCAGGGCCAGGCTTGGGTACGTATGTGTTGCAGCTATGAAAAGCTAACCACGGTGACCACTTTACGATGGTGACACAAAACCTGTGTGCGTGTGTGTGTGAGTGTGTGTGTGCGCTCGTGTGTAAAATACTGTGTTTTTGTACCGTAATAGCCACTAAAAGTTTTCCAGCCTCTCTAACATTATTTTAAAAAAAGATTCCTTTTGAGGTGCTGGGATTTGAACTCGAGTCTTGCGCGCAGCTGGACAGGTGTTCTAACCCTTGAGCCACATCCCCAGGCCCACAACAAGGCCTTTTTGAACCCTCTTCAGCCGGGGACGCGTGGCGACCTCCTTACCTCTGACAGCCAGGGCACGGGTTTGTTCCATTTCAAGTAGCTACTGCCGCTGCTGCCCGCCCCGTCGGGTTCTTGGTCCTAGGGTGAGGACAGAGACAGCTGGGTGGGAACCTGGGGGTGAGGAATTAGGGGTGGGGCACATGATTTGGGAGGGGGGCCTTGAAAACGCCAGCAGAGAAGCAGAGGGGACCGGCTTGGTGTCCGGGGGGGCTCATCAAGGGGGGACCCCGCCACCTGCTCAGCTCTGCTCCCTTCTCGGAATCGGCTTGAGCGTCTGTCCCACTTGGAAAAAATGCTTTTTGTTGTAGTTAAGTCGGGTCCTTCGGAGGAAAGGGGCTGTGCGCCCCTTCTGCCTCAGTATCCCCCTGGGTTGCACCCAGATGGGCGATGGCTGACTTGATTCAACAAGGGACATCACACACGCTCCCTGCCCGCAGCTCCGCAGGCCCCAGCCTCGGGCAGCCATGCCCGTCGCAGGCTTGGCTTGGGGCGGTGGGCAGCTCCCGCCCCGTACCTTGACCACGGTCAGCTTCTGTGGACCGTACACCTGGAGATTCGAACCCACCACCGGCATGTTCCTGTTGGCCAGTGCTTTGGCCAGCTCTCGCCAGCTGCCGTATCCTGTGGAAGGGACGGGAGAAGAGAATTCAGCGCCTTCCCCAAACTAGGTGGCCTGGGACACGGCCTTCCCTCCCATGGGGCAGAGTGCCCGCTGCTCCTCGCCCCAAACAAGCTATGGCACCCGGGGGGGGGGGTTGTACATGTCTGGGAAGGGGAACAAAGGAAGCGGGGAGGAGGGGAGAGCCAGAGCCCACGGGTCAGCCCGCCGTGCACGGGGTGGTACAAGTGGCCTTGGACTACGTGGACCAATGCCCCGGGCCACACACCAGGACCACAGGCCTGCAGGGCTCCGCCAGCCTGGGGAGCACCCCGAACGCACTGCACACAAGGCCATGGGGCTGGGCTCCCCGCCTCCCACCCCAGCTCCCTTAAAGGGAGGCTGGAGGAGACGGGGGAGGCCCAGGGTCTCACTGTCCCCCACTACAGCTCAAGATGGCGGGCCGGGGTGGGGCTCACGCCTCCATGTGCGTGAAGGTTGGCACTGCGCAAGAGGAGTCAGACAGCAGAGAGTACGGCCAGGGGCCAGAGGGTGGTTGGCTGTCAACAGAAGTGTCACAAGATCCCCCCGTGAGCACCCCGGGGACACGGCGGCCACCCAGACCCACGACAGAGCGCAGCCGGGCTCCGAGGCACACGGAGTAATGCCAGCCATTCGGGAGGCGGAGGCACGAGGATCACAAGTCAAGGCCAGCCTGGGCCACACGCCAAGATCCAGCCTCAGCACAAAGAACGTCAGAGGTGGCCGTCAGTTCCACATGAGTGTACAGGGGTGGGGGGGAGAGAGAGGGGGAGAGAGAGAGAGAGAGGAGGGGAAGAGATGTCTG